CCTTTTTAGCTGCCACATCACACTGTTGACTCATGTTCAATTTGTGGTTTATTATTACTCATCAATTGTAATTCCCATATGACACTGAATGTCATACTAATAGTTGTGGAGGAGCCCTGGTAGCACAGTGCTTAAATGCCTGTACTGCAGTCGCTCACTCACAAACCACAAGGTTGTGAGTTCAATACCAGCCAGGGGGCTCAGGGTTGACTCAGCCTGGCATCCTTCTGAGGTCGCTAAAATGAATACCCAGCTTGTTAGGGGCAATTAGCTTACACTTTGTATACTGCTTAGAGCAGGGGTAGGCAACCTTTCCCCTTTAAGGGCCGAGGGACTTCAGCTCCCAGAATCCCAGGAGCTATTGGCCAACATGGCTGAGGCTTCTGGGAGCTGAAGTCCCTTGGCCCTTAAAGGGGAAAGGTTGCCTACTCCTGGTTTAAATTATATCTTCAAATTACAATATCATAAACACAACCAAAATGTATTTACATATACGTGGTGAAGATTTGGTAAAAATGTGATTTTTTAAAAAAAAATAGAAAATTTAAAAAGAATTTTTAAAAAACTAATTTTTTTTAAAAAAAATCAAACATTATTTTTTTAAAAAAATTAAAATTTTTAAAATTCTGGGGGCCCTCCTTTCTCCTCCCACTGAGCTTCGCCCCACTCCCACCATCTCTTAAAGCATTTTAAAAGGAAGCAGATGAATGCCACAGCCCATTTCTGCCAAAAGGCAGGTGTTTGAGGAGAGGTGGTGTCACCCCCCCTTAGAGTGTCACCTGGTACAGTCCGCACCCCCCCCTACACCCCCCCTTTTGGTGAAGCCCTTGGAGAAGTCAATTAGAAAGCCAGCCCCGCTTCCTAACCCTACCTTTCCCTGCAGAGGGCGCAGGAGAGCTCGCTCGCTTTCTATTCTGAGGGATTCTGAGGGAATGTGTGGAAGAGGGCTTGCTCACTACAACTCCCAGAACCCCCTGCCGCTTTGGCCTGCCAATGCCTCGCCGGCGCCTGGACGCGGAGGCTGCCGGGATTTGTATGCCGCGGCGGCTGTGGAGCCCAACCCAGAGGGAGGGACTGGCGCAAGGGAGAAAGGGGGACCCAGCTGACCTCGCCGGCGGCCCTTCAGGTGAGGAGAAGGGCGGCATGGGGGGCCAGGGGGAGCCCTGGAGGGCGAAAGAGAGGAGCTGGATGGCCCTGGGTTGC